TTTTCTTTTTTTTTTTTTTTTTTTTTTAAGAATTCAAAAAAAAAAACTGTAAAAAAATTAATTCTACTTTAGTGAGACTGTTATAATTATTGCAGTTTACTAGCTTAGTTTTTTGCTAACTTACACTAAAATAAGATATAGCTTTGTGCTTCCTGATCTGATTGAAGGGACGAGAATATTCATATGCAAATTTGTAGGAATACCACACTTCACTAATATTACTACTTCCAAGTCATTCTGTTCTTTATCAGTTTTGGCCAGCTATTATCTTAACCTGATGAACTCACATGCATACATTTCAGATGTAACAATGTGACTGAAGTCAGTCATGCTGGACACAAGAGGCGCAGACAGAAGTGCAGCTCCCCCACTGTAACTGAGAATGTTTTTCAGGAAGCGTTCTGAGGTACAAAGATCTCGTGGAACAAACAGAAGTTCACTGTTACTTCCAAAGGGGGTGGGAGTTTGGCTGCTCGCTGGGCTCCTGCAGCAGGTTTCCCCTAGCAATGGCCCCTCCTCCATCCCAGCCAGTCCTTATTTCAGAATGGCAGGAGGGAAAAGGGAGCAGAGGGAGCTTGTTCAAGGAGTTCCCTAGTTGGCTCTGGAAGGTGGGGTGGGTGAACTGGAGCCCCCACCCCACCTCAGGGGGGAAGCTCCAAAACACCTGTCCCATTTTACAGCAGGGGGCTGAAAACCCCCCAGACTGAACTCACTCTGCTCTCTTTAGACCCTCCCATTCTGAAAACAACTTGAGGCTGGCAGGCAGCACAGACAGAAGTTACAGAAGAGGCTGTTTTGAAATATCTTCACCTGACCCCTTCATACAATGAGGGCTCAGACCTTCATCTAAATGGCCATTTTTGAAGCAGTCTGCAGCTGTGCATTTGTGTTCGGTCACAGCTATAAACTGCTCTCTGTGGCCAGATCAGGTGAAAATTGGCACTTAGGTCTGCCCCCTAAGATCTTTGCATTTTAAGGTACTTGTAACCGTTACAGAGTAGGGACACGACCAAATGACATACTGGTCATTTTTCCAGACAGATGAAATTGTGCACCAGTATTACCAGAGTTAATGTAAAGTATATCATATCTTTCAGCCAGTGGACAAACATGGAGTGAAATCCTGATCCTATGCAAGGCAGTAGAAAATGTTGCCATTAACTTCAGTGAATGCAGGTTTTCCATTTTCTTCACTAGAATGATCTAACATGAGAAGAGGTCATATACCATAGCCACCAAACCTCTTTAAATCAGTAGCGAATATCTCAGACCACAAGGTGAGCTAAAGCAAAAATAACTTTCTTCTGAATTCATTTATTACAGACATAAGATATAGTTGGAGTGTCATTAATTCTGGGGAACATCACTTTTCCTCATACCTGCAGAAACTAAAACACAAGATCCTGACTACTGCAGATAGATACTAGAATTTGTTGAATGCTTTAGTGTACATTAGCATTCTTTCTTCTCTTAAGCATATCATGGCATGAAAAAGGATTTGCTTCTCTTTTGACAGAAGTGTCAGTAATCTTTGGGCCACAGAGAACAGCTTTAGGTCTTGACTGTAACTTCTGTACAGTGGTAGTAAACTGTTAATAAATAAAATACACTAAGTAAATATTAGCCCCCTTCAGGTGAAAAGGTAACTTCTTCCTTTTTCTGTATTGAAAAAGAGATTTTTAGGAATAATAGTAGACAAAACTGAAAGACAACATGGTGCCATGCAGATATATTCTGAGCTGACTGTGAACACACTGACCTGAATACTGGAGTCTGCAAAGGCCAAAATACATACTGGAGTCTGCTGTACAGAGATACCTGAAAAAAATCTAGATGTCAGCTCTGGAACTATAGTTTGTTTAGCCATATTTATGTGATGCTGCACTTGGGCAAATAAGTCTTACTTTTTAAAGGGCTAATTAGCCCTGAAAGTACCCTAACTATACTGCTTCCCATCCTGGATCTACGATTCACCAAGGGCAAGTCATGCCTGACCAACCTGACAGCCTTCTATAATGAGATGACTGACTGTGGAAGCGGGGACAGCAGTGGACATAATATATCCATACTTTAGCAAGGCTTTTGGTATGGTCCCCCAAAACATTCTTGCAAGCAAGCTAAGGAAGTATGGGTCAGATGAATAGACCTGTAAGTTGTAAGGTCGACAGAAAGCTAGCTGTATCATTGGGATCAAAAGGCAGTAACCTGGTGTCTAGTTGGCAGCTGGTATCAAGTGGAGTGCCCCAGAAGTCGGTTGTGGGACCAGTTTCAATATCTTCATCAACAACCTGGAATATGGGATGGAGTTCACCCTCAGCAAATTGGCAGATGACACCACTCCTAAAGAAATCTCATGAGGTTTAATAAGGACAAATGCAAGTCCTGCATTTAGGACGGAACAATCCCATGCAATGGTACAGGCAGAAGACTACCTGAGTAAGCAGCAGCTCTGTACAAAAGGTCTTAAAAGGGTTACAGTGGATGGTAAGCTAAATATGAGCCAAGTGTGCCCTTGTAGCAAAGGAGGTTAACTGGGCTACATTAGTCCAGGACTACTGCTGGCAGATCGAGGAAAGTGATTCTTCCCCTTTATTTGGCACTGGTGAAGTCACATCTAGAGTACTGTGTCTAGTTTTGGGCCCTCCACTGCAAAAAGAATGTGGACAAATTGGAGAGAGTCCAGTGGAAGGCGATGAAAATGGTAAGGGAGATGGAGCACATGACTTCTGAGGAGAGGCTGAGGGAACAGACCTTATTTAGTCTGAAGAAGAGAAGATTGAGAGGGGATTCAATAGCAGCCTTCAACTACCTGAAGGGTGGTTCAAAAGAGGATGGAGCTGTACTGTTCTCAGCAGTGGCAGATGACAGAACATGGAATAAAGGTTTCAAGTTGCAGCAAGGGAAGTTTAGGTTGGATATTAGGAAAAACTCTCTCACTAGGAAGGTAGTAAAGCACTGGAACAGGTTATCCAGAGAGGTGGTAGAATCTCCACCCCTGGAGGTTTTTAAGACCTGGCTAGACAAAGCCTTGGCTGGGATGATACAGTTGGGGATGGTCCTGCTTATATGTAACTGGTGACTGTTGAAAGTGGAAGGGCATAATTTAAAGGTTCTGGTGGTATGCAGTGGGGTTCTAGGCAGGTAGTCAATAGACAAAAGAGTTTTGATTTCTATTCTAGAGTTACTTTTAATGTCATGTTTTATGTTACTATGTAATAGCAGACGGAAACTGTTCAAAGAGAGAGCTACACATGAAGAAAACTGTGGCGGGGGTGTGTTATGTGGGGTAGAGGGCAGTGTGTGAAGCTTTCTGGAACTTGGCCCCTGCCCGATGGTGCAAGGCTCGTCTGAATGTGCCAGAACTTGGCCCCTGATGGCCCAGACTGACCCCATGCAATCAGGGCCACATGCCAAATTCTGGAATGCCTGGACCACGCCCTCCCCCCCTCCCCCATGCCATTGGGGACCTTCCCCTCCCACCCCAATGGTGAAGGGCTAGTTCAGGCTCACAAGAGCTCAGCCACTAGCTCAGATAGTGCAGAGACAGTCCCCAAGCCCTGGCCCTCCAGCCCGCCCCTCCCCATCCCATAGACTTATCTGCATGTAGCTGCTGGAGCTTATCCTACCAGGCTGCCTGGCTGCATCATCAGTCACCTGTGTATGGGCATGCACATGACACACCCTACCCTGCAGCCCTGAATTTTCCTTGCTTTCTATAAATAAAATCAATTAACTGATTTGTGTGCCCACCCATTCCTCTGATGTGTCACCAACGGTACTGCTTTGACCAGGGGTTGGACTAAATGACCTTCTGAGGTCCCTTCCGACCCTAATTTTCTAAGATTCTGTGTTTCTAAGGCCTGAATAGGGTGTAACACAAGGCCTAAGGACACATAGCGAATACGGACAAAAAGTAAAATATTTAAGGAGCTGCTCATTCATTGAGCCTATCCATGCAGTGCACAAACTGTGACAAGGATACTGCAGGCAAAAAAAAGCGATCGTATAATTAAAGATTGTATCGTAGAACATCTGTATAAGGATGCCGAATTAAAGTTACAAAAGTAACGTGAAATGAAATGGTACTACCTTATCTAAATTGTGAATGTTAGAGACTTTGCAACTATAGTAATGATATTCTAATATATGAGGTTTTTAGCATGTGTACTAATATATATTATTTAGACTTAGAGGAGAAACCGTATAGGCACATATAGTGCTGAATATATATCCCTTGAATTTAGTAAGGTTTTTGATATGGTCTCTCACAACATTCTCTTAGGCAAGTTAAGGAAGTACG